CAGGTGAAGAATTTCTCTGATCTTGATTTCACACGTTTCCACTTGCTGTTAACGTAACACATGACATGCATATCTTCTTCTCTTGACAGGTGTTGATGGTCAGACTCTGACACAATCTGAAGCAGTGATTAAAAGGCCTGAAGAATCTCACAGGTTGACTTGTACAACATCTGGATTCACATTCAGCGGCTACCCGATGAACTGGATCAGACAGGCTCCTGGAAAAGGACTGGAGTGGATCGCTTACATCAGCACATCTAGTACTCCTATCTATTACTCCCCATCAGTCAAGGGTAGATTCACCATCTCCAGAGATGACTCCAGCAGTAAACTGTATCTACAGATGAACAGTCTGAAGACTGAGGACAGCGCAGTGTATTACTGTGCTAGAGACGCACAGTGAGAGACAATGATGAGAGAGCTGTTCAAAAACTACTTCCTCTATTCACCTCGACCACTGGGAACATTCAGACGTCTCAGTGTCACTTGTTCTGAACCACAGATATAATGAAGATAGTGCTTATTATTTTATTAAAATGATGCACATTCTAAATATAACAATATATATATATATAATTTAACATTCATTCCCCATTATATTATTAACTAATCTACACTATGACAAACTAATAAATAAAACATATGTTGTTAATTGTCACGACTGGACAACGGCCCTGAACCCAAATGCACGACTCCTGAGACGAGGTTCAAAATCAAGGTTTATTCACAAAAGGCAACAAATGAAAATCACTGTCGGCAGAGGAAGAAACCCTGTACTAAAGCTAAGAACCAAAAGGATCTAGAAAATAAACGCTAGGCTGAAAAAGGAACCAACAGAAAGCGAGCCTGAACAAGGTACAAAGAACGTAGCAAAACTTGTCAAAGGACGTTGGTACACGCAGGTTCTCTGTAACATGGGACAAGACCAACTGGCCCAGGACAAAGGGAGACGCAGACAATATTCACACACAGGGTGAGGACACAGAGGGACACTATCAGGGGCAGGGACAGACAATGGGACCGGCACACAGGGGGAAGGAGCACGTTGCCTGAAACGAGAGGAAGGTTAATCACAAGACATCAGAGACACGAGACGACTGACTGCACGCTTCTTGGACATGACATGCCAGCAGATGTGTGTCCTCTTACCACGGCCATCGGTTATCTTTGCATGTCTCAGGTTTCACTTCCTAAATAGCTCATTTCTTCTTGAGGCTCCATGTTTCTCTGTATGTCTGTGGCTTCAAATTGGTGAGATTTAAATACCGAAACCGTAGAAGTCAAAAAAGCAGCTGCAGTATATTAAAATATTCATGTAGAGGAATATATATTGTCACGCTCTCACTTCATTTGTGTAAACTCCACAACTATAACCATTCAAATCTTTCTCTAGCACTTTTGAAACTGCAATATTGGAACTGGTATAAAAAAATGGGTGAAATGGGAAAAGTTGACACAGCGAGTGCGAGCAGCTTACGTTACCGGCTACATTGATTAAAAGTTAATGAACTTTAAGAAATACTTTGACTTTCTACAAACTGAGACACAATAACTACTTTACATTATGTGGAATATAAATAAAGTGTTTTTGGGAGTTAATCTTATGTGTGTTTCCTGTTCCTTGTGTCACTAACCCCTCCTGTCTTTTCCGTTCCTGTCCTCGTGTTCCTCCTGATTCCTTATTCACTACACCTACGTTCACCTGTCCACTACCTTCCCTCGTCTCTCAGGTTTCTCTCTGTTCTCGAGTCACTCCGCCGCCCCAGAACCGTTACAATCATGCTATTTATGTGCCCTTGCAAACGCAAATTAATTAATAAAAAATGAAATAATCTCTACTCGTGTAGTTTAGAGTCAATCATGAATGGTGAAAGGCGCCGGCACAAAAACCGTTGATATCATACTTGAATTTTATTTAATAATTTGAAAACATGCAACAACTTATCTTTGTTTGCAGTTATAAACTAATTGAGAGTTTCTTAATTGAAAAAAAATCAATTATGAAAGTCCAACTGGCTCCAGTTAGACCGACGTTGAAGTTTCATATGTGTGATCCCATGCAAACTCAGGGAGCTTCCTTGTTGGTCAGCTATAAAAACATCCCATCAGTCTGTTGAGTTCACAGCTCGACAGTTTCAACATCACCATGTTCTCAATAGCTCTGCTGCTGCTGTTGGCAGCTGGATGTAAGTTCCTCTTGATTCATCAAAGTCATTCGTTCTTCTTGTATAACTTGATAATAAAGAAAAATCTTTTTTTAACAGGCTTCAAATGTGAGCAGTTGACGCAGCCGGCCTCTGTGACTGTGCAGCCCGGTCAACGTCTGACCATCACCTGTCAGGTTTCTTATAGTATGAGCAGCTACTACACAGCATGGATCAGACAGCCTGCAGGGAAAGGACTGGACTGGATTGGACAAAGATTTACTGGAGCGTCATACTACAAAGATTCACTGAAGAGCAAGTTTAGTATCGAATTAGATGCTTCCAGTAAAACAGTGACTCTAAACGGACAGAATGTGCAGCCTGGAGACACGGCTGTGTATTACTGTGCAAGAGACCCACAGTAACACAAACCATCAGTACAGCTGAACAAAAACCTCTCAGTGCCTGAACACTTGTAACACAAAGCCACCAGAGGAGGAGTCCTCAGACCACCAATGATTTCACCACCAGCTCACTGTTACATCAGTTTAAATACCTACACGTTACAATCACTAATATGCTATTCTATCCACATTTAATGAATAAAAAGTTTTACAAAAAAAAATTACACGTTTATCAATTGCAATACATAGAATCTTACAAGCAATGAAAATAATTTATTGGAGTTTTCCTATCAAATGAACACTACATGAACACATCTCAGCCACGTTAATGTAACTTATTCATTATTTGACAATTAAATTAGGTCTCTTTATAACACACAAAAAAATAGTTTTTTTGTTCACTGTTAGATAGCGAAAAAAATAATTATTTTGGCCCTAAACTGGGGTCGAGGATGAGCGGGTCAAGATCCAATCACACAATGTGTGGTTTCCTAACATTAATGTAAACATAACGAACAAAGCGTGAGGGTTGTAAGGTGATTGGTGTGTCTCTCACTCTCATCCTTATCAGAACTGTGTCTGCCTGGTTGGCACCTTCAGCTTTTGCCCTCTGACCTTTCACTGCTCAACCAGGATGAGACAGTGACTCCCTAAATAAGCAGTGGGAAAAACGTTTTTGATTATCAGGGGAAAACTATATCCTCGTTATTACATTTTTACTCTCATAGTTGTAAACCACCTCAGTGAGAGGACTTCACTATAGAGTGATTTTTTATCCAATTAAAGTGAAAGCTTTGCTTAAGATAGCTTTGTATAATAGAGTCTTAATATTTTCCAGATTATCTTGTGTTACATTAGACAGAATCCTCTGAGTGTGAAACATATTCAAATGATATAAACAAGGACAGAGGACACTGTTCAATCAGAGAGGAGGAGTCAATGCAAAACTCAGATGTCTTTCTCCTCTACTTATGTGGCTGCAGAGAGGAGGACAGAGGACAGTGGACACACAGTTAACCATGAGGGACTTTAGGACAGGACTGCTGCTTTTAACTGTCTTCTGCGCAGGTGAAGAATTTCTCTCATCTTGATTTCACACGTTTCCACTTGCTGTTAACGTAACACATGACATGCATATCTTCTTCTCTTGACAGGTGTTGATGGTCAGACTCTGACACAATCTGAAGCAGTGATTAAAAGGCCTGAAGAATCTCACAGGTTGACTTGTACAACATCTGGATTCACATTCAGCAGCTACTACATGAACTGGATCAGACAGGCTCCTGGAAAAGGACTGGAGTGGATCGCTATCATCCATCCATCTAGTTCTCCCATCTATTACTCCCCATCAGTCAAGGGTAGATTCACCATCTCCAGAGATAATCCCAGCAGTAAACTGTATCTACAGATGAACAGTCTGAAGACTGAGGACAGCGCAGTGTATTACTGTGCTAGAGACCCACAGTAACACAAACCATCAGTACAGCTGAACAAAAACCTCTCAGTGCCTGAACACTTGTAACACAAAGCCACCAGAGGAGGAGTCCTCAGACCACCAATGATTCCACCACCAGCTCACTGTGACCTCAGTTTAAATACCTACACGTTACAATTACTAATATGCTATTCTATATATTTAAAAACATTCATAACACGTTTATTAATTGCCCTACATTGACTTTTACAAGCAAGGAAAATAATTTTTCTTCAGATTTTGAGTTCTACGCTAAAATTTTATTATTAGGATCCTCAATACGACTTGTCATAGAGGAACCTATTGTATTCATTATTTATCTCTGAAACACCCAGATGATAAATAACCTGAATTTTATTATCTATCCTACAAAATAAAATACAATCATTTGGAGTGAATTATTTGTTTTGCTATTTCTTTTTCTAAATGTTTGACCTGTGCCATATAAACGTGTCCTTTGTCAAAATGATGCTCTGAAGAATAAGTTAATCTCCAGCAGAGACACTTCTGCCTCCAACAGTGACTTTAAAAGGACAGAATGATCAAACTGAGGACACAGCTGTGTGTTGCTGTGTGCGTTATCCCTCAGAGATACAAACCACCAACAGACCTGCACAAGTACCAGCAACCGTGTGACTCACCCACACACTGTCAAACACATTTAAATACGTTATAAAGCAGTCTGTGTGTGACTAGTTACTCCCTGAAGGAGACATTGTCTGGTTATTTAATGTATTTAAGAGATCATCTTGCATTGTGATCATTGCAGCTGTGCCGCTAAATTGGGCTTTTCTACCCGTGTACTATTTTTTAAGGATTCAAAACTAGAATCCAAGACATTAAAGATACTTATGTTCACTCAAACAATATTATATTAAAAATGTTTTTCGGCTTGATATACTGTTAGAAAAATATGTTTTTACTTTTCCTGTAACACAAATATTTTTACATTATGAATAGTTGTCAGGAATTAAGATCTTTTACTTCACTCTGCTTTGGCTGTTGTGTATTTATTTGAGTTCACCTGCTTTCCATTTTGTCTTTTGAAACCTGTTGAGGGAGGTGCATGCAAATTGTTCCTTCCTTAAAATAATGCCGTATGCAGCTCTCATGTCATTGATGACGGAGCAACTGGGCTTCTAATATATCTTGAAAACATTCAGAGCAGAAAGCAGTGGATGAAGTGTTAATAACATAATGGAAAATATGATTTCCTGGAGTCTGTTCTTCATAGTTACTATTAATGGTGAGAACAATTTCTGCTCTAACACAGTGAAGACACTCACTTATCTCACCTGTGAGGTGTGCTGATTACAATGTGTTTTCTTACAGGAGTTTGGAGTGAAATCAAACTGGAACAGTCTCCCTCCGAGGTGAAGAAACCTGGAGAGAAAGTGAAGATGTCGTGTATCACGTCAGGTTATAGTATGACAAGCTACAACATTCACTGGATACGACAGAGGCCAGGAAATGCTCTGGAGTGGATTGGGTGGATGAACACAGGCAGCAACTCTGCTACCTTCAGCAGCTCCTTCCAAAGCCGTTTCATCATGACTGAAGATGTGCCCAAGAGCACTCAGTACCTCGAGGTCACGAGCCTGACAGCAGAAGACTCAGCTGTTTACTTCTGTGCTCGACACACAGTGACTGAAGACAGCAGAGCAGCTGAACAAAAACATCCACAGACAACAAACAGCAACTTGGGGACATTTGGCTTTTCTCACAAACTGCAAAAGTACTTTAATCTATTTAATATCTTCACGATGTCAATAATTGCTTTTTAAAACACATGAAGAATAAACAAATGAATTCAAAACAGGATAAGAATTTATTCATAACATAAATGCAATAAATACACCATATTGTTTGTTGGTAGTATTGTTTCTATTGTTTCAAAGCCCTTTTATGATCTAAAATGTCAAGAAAACTTAAATGTCGGAGTCAAGTACATAAATTATAATAATCAAATGAAGAACACAGACATCAGATTGTTTCCTCTTCTACTTCACTCCTGACTGCTTTGGCTCAGCCAGCAGGGAAGTTTATAAAATAATTTTATTGAAATACAACAAATGTGTTTCAAATGTAAAACATGTTCATCCCTGTTGAAAATACTTATTAATAAAGTGTTGACTTTTTATTCATTGCAGTAAGTAAAAGTAAAAACAATAACAGTATCAAGCAAAGCGCTCATCAACTTGATTAATCTTTACCTCACCTGGTTCACCTTGATGTCTCCACTGCAAGTGTGTGTGTGTCTGTCTGTGTGACTGTGTGTGTGTGTGTGTGTCTGTCCGTGTGTCTGTTTGTGTGTGTCTGTGTGTGTGTGTGTGTGTGTGTGTGTGTGTGTCTGTCTGTGTGTCTGTGTGTGTGTGTACACAAAGAACAGCAGAGATTCTTGCTGTAGCCAAACATTAAAATGTACCAGTAAAAGGAACCATTAACTTTTTATAACCCATGTCTGTTTAATACTGAGAGTCGTACCCATCACGACCTCTATTTAATGTAGACACAAAATGTTCTCATTAGAACCATGTCACGTGTGTCCGTTCTGCTGCTCTGCAACATGACGCCATGGAAGAAGAAGCTCTCCCTTTGTCGGTAGCTAGTTCTCTGCTCCCTGAGAGGAGGAGTCAATGCAAAACTCAGATGTCTTCTACCTACAAGAGGAGGAAAGAGAGCAGTGGACACACACAGTTAAACATGAGGCGCTGCAGGACAGGACTGCTGCTTTTAACTATCTGCTGGGCAGGTGACGATTTTCACTCATTCTGTCACTTCATATAGTTGGAAATCACTTGAAGTTTGCGTGATTAGTTCTGTACTGATTAATGATTTCTCTGCAGGCGTTTCCAGTCAGACTCTGAGTGAGTCTGAACCAGCGGTGAAGCTCCCAGGAGAATCTCATAAACTGACCTGTACCTATGCAGGAATATCAGATGATGCTGCTGATATCAGCTGGATCAGACAAGCTGAAGGAAAAGGACTGGAGTGGATTGCCCACATTTCTGCTCCGAGTGGAAGCAATAAATATTATTCCACGTCTGTCTTGAATCGTTTCACCATTTCCAGAGACAACGCCGTGGACCAGGTGTCTCTGCAGATGAACAGTGTGACCACTGAAGACTCTGCTGTTTATTATTGTGCTCGGACTCCACAGTGATACAGGAAGCCACAGAACTGTACAAAAACTCCCCCCACTGTATCAGTCACTGATACAAAGTATTGTGAATCGCCATTAAGTATTTTTAAAATCCCCCTATAGTGTTAATTGTTGGAACCAGGGGGAGAAAATGGAAGGTTGGACTAAATAATCTAGAAGTTTATTCAAAGTTAATTGTCATCATAGGCAGCAACTGTACTATCTCACTGAAAATAAATAGCTGTTTTAAAGATATTTGCAAGTAAAGAAGGTCGGTGCCATTTAATTTGACGTCCAAAACGCATCTCCGTTAACACTGAACCCTCATGTCACCTTTGTTCTCGATTAGAAACAAAAACCCTGCTGAATATTTGTCTCCTGTTCACTTCAATTCTATGCTAATACATTTTGTAATGGTAAAATATAATGATGCCATAATGTTTTATTAGATTAATGTCTGAAGCTAATCATGAGTTTAATTGTGAGGAAGTTCCACAGCACCAGCTGTGTGGGAACTGTCTCCTCTTTGATCCCATCTGTCTATGTGTACCAAAGCTGCATGGAGGGAGGAGAAGGTGTGGATTCCTCCGGCCCTCGTCCTGAATCTAATAAGATCATTTAGAATAATTGAATTGTCTTGTGAGTTTTCCCTCAGGTCTGGGACCTTGTTGCTTGTCTCTGTTTCTTTAGCATTACAAAGTATTAATATATCTTGTTTGCTTCGAACATAAAGAAGAAGCTTGCCACTGAAAAACAATAAACCAATATCTCTGAGACGCTCATCAACAGAGCAGCCAAGCGTAGTCACTACCAGGTCAGTCAAACAACAACCTGGCGACGAGTGGCTGAGGAACCGGGGTAGAAACATCAGCCGTATGGCTCCTCCTTAAATTTGCTCAGGACACAGAAGTACCACAAGAGAGATATGCATAAAAATACTTTTATTTAGTATCAAAACATTGACGATTCTTTATATTTTAAAAGCAGTCTTCCAATAAGTTAAACGTCCACCAGGAAAGTCCAGTCACGAGCTGTCAGACAGCTGGGATCTATTTGCAGTCAATCCGGCCGTGCTCTGTTCAGTGTGGAACGTGGAGAACGTGGTGTGACGTCGTGGCCGATGCCCCCTCACGACGGAGGTCGGTCCGTCGGTCGGTCCGTTCGCCACCGTCTCGTTGTCCCGGCCGTGTTCCCATAAGTCAGCAGCTTCCTCTTTTTTATACTCCTCCTCTTTGCCCCTCGATCCCGTAGATGGGTTGGTTACTAATTGTCCAGGTAATTAGTCCCGGTGAAAGCGATAGAGGGATTTGTTAGTCCAATAGGACGTCTGTGTGGGGAACAGTAGTCCATGTAACTCACACGGTGCACACTATAGTAAAAGATCACGCAATACACAGTGAACATACAAGATCACAGCAATCACATAAATGACACAGTAGTCAATAAATGTCACAGCACACTAGTCACCGCAAACCTGAAACACACATTACATTCACACACACATTCCCAACAGGCTGACAGATACACTGCAAGGTGATTTGTAGATTGAAGACAGCTCGGTTGCCAGAGCAGGTGAAGTGACCTGTAATCAGGGAGTCTGAATGACCTTCAGTTTGGAGCCACGCCCCTCCACATGATACCGCCAGGAGGCGGGACCTCGCCGTGACAATTATCTAGTTATCACATGACTTGGAAACTCATTAGATAAATAGTCCAAAACAGATTAATTTCAATAACATGTGTTATTATAACAAACATTAAAGCTTTTAGTGATTGTAAATGACAAAATGTCACATATTAAAAATAAGACGTTTTTGTTTGGTTTTGCTGTATGAGAATAATAAATGTTACTATTTCATATTAGATCATTTTGTTGACTATATTTGCTTCTCTTTTGATGTGATACTGTAGATCACATCAATTAATTCAATCAATTTGGATAAAGACATCACTCAGCCATGTGGAAATGATAGTGTGCTCGTGTTAAACAGAAAGGCTTCTGAATATGTCGTTGTTTCAAACCAACGTTTTTTTTCAGTGTCTGGTGATTCTAAACATATTCTCTTCCTCTCTGCACCTCCGGGACCACACAGGAAACTTTTTAGAAACTGTCAGAACTACAAACAAACAGCATTCCAGCCTTCCAGTGTGTACTTTTCTTTAAAATGTAAACTTAAATAAGAAAGGAAAACAGCAATCTGCCATAATAATCACCCTTACAATATAGATTGATATTTTACAAGAGATAAACATATCTAAACGTCCTACTTTATACTTTCTATGTTTTGTCTGCAACAAATTGATCAGTTGAAATGATTGATGTGTAAAATAATTTAAAGATAAATCACTATCTATGTGCAGGCATGTACACAAACATCAACGTTATAGTAGACATATTCATTATTTCACTTGATTCTTACTTGAAACTATTTTTAAAATGTTCTTTAAAGAGAAAATACGGTCGTCATTTAAATAAAAAATTACATTTCTCAATACAAGAGCAAGTTGATTTTTGCCAGTTTTGCAGCAACTATGTAAAAACAAAAATGTTGTGAGAGGTAAATAAGTTAGAAGGAATCCAGTTAGAAAAGAAGAGCTGTAGTGCGACGGTTTGAAAAAGGAAAGAACAATAATACAATAATGCTAAACGTATTTCTTGACCCACCACATAACAGTATCTTGACAAAAGGACAGATTTAAACATAGAAATTCAAATTTGTTACAAACTATAAAACAACTGCTCTGTTAAAATAAATTCCTTTCAGATTTTCTGATTCAAATGTATGTGTTTGCCATGTCATACGAAAAACATTTCAACTAACAAAAAAATATGGATTACTAACAATGACGTAAAAATAAGTAACATGTGAATTAGGAATCTTACATCCAACATTTGTATTGATTAGAATATGAGTTTCTTTTTTAGTCTTACCCACTGCTGACGATATGTTTCCAGTGCAGGAAGCTGTGGGTCACTGAGGTTTTTGTAACAGGGTTTATCACAGTGTGGGGTATGGGGGTATGGGGCACTGTGATATTCATCCGTACAAAAGAGAAAAAACTATAAACTCTCCCATTCTCATTGTGATAAATCAACAGGACAGACTGTTTTTCAACTAGAATGTAGAGTAAGTACTGTGTTTATCACTTTTAGATGGATATTAGTTATTACAAGTTAGTTAATAAGTAGATTAAAGTCACAGGCGTAAATGTCATCTTCCTGTAAATTAACTTTCAGAACTGGTTAAGAATCAGAAAAAAAAGAAAAACTCTCAAGACACAATCATGTTATTATTTTAAACAGTTTTTCTGTGTATTTCAATCCCTTAATTAGGTTTTAAGGTATTTATCTACTACGGCAGGTTTTTGTTGAGGCAGTGACAGGAGATGCATCACTGTGCTTACTTCGACTACTGGGGAAAGGGGACTGAAGTCACAGTAATGTCAGGTAAGTCACATTTAAACATTGTATTTTTACTAAAACGTTTATATATTTGTTATTCATGTGATTATTAGCGGTAGAGAAGTTTAAATCATGTCTTATTTCGGTTTACATAAATGTAAAAACCAGAAAAGAGAGCAGGCAGATGTTTCTAATACAGTTGTTCTTAGAAAGCCGTTAAAAAATGTATTGTTTGGCAATAACTCTTAATGTAGGTGAATGTTTGTAATGTAATCAAAATAATTTAAATTTCGGCTGATAAACATTTGCATTATTGAATTAATATTTTTAGAAAGTATTTCAGTGTGATTCATTTTCCCATTGATTAGACTGTATAATTAAAATACATATAAGGTTTTCTTTTTAGCTAGCTGTACATAAATATACATACAAATATGTATAGATGCCTATAAAGAACAACTGGTATTCTTCTTTTAAAAATAAAACGTAAACGCTCAAATCCATCAACAATAATTGTTTTTATTTACACTTATAACGATAACCAAAAGCCTTTTCAATATTATACCGTAAGCAGTGCATAATAAATAAATGAATAGGACGTGATAAGAATAGCTTACAATGTATGGAAAATATTAAGAATATGCCAAAATATTCCATTTCAATGAGCTCGGATGTTATATCACATATTATTATATTATATATTTTTTATGTGTCAGCTCCTAGACTGAATATAAATGTTTGGGTATTAAATGACTTCTACCCAAAAAGTATCACACCAAAGCGAGACATGGCAAAAATGTTTTGTATGATTGATGAATTATTAAAACAGATCATTAATTCACACAAGTTCCAAGGAATATACTGTACTCAGATGCAGTATCTTTATACAGTAAAAATAATCAAAAGCTCTTTCTTCTTACAGAAGTATCATTCACTAAAGTCCTATAGCTTCATCACACAATTATATGTAACATTTTAATGATCCTCTTACAGAAAAGTAACTGATGTGTGTATAATTTCACTTTCACAGAAACAACATCACCAACTCTGTTCCCTTTGGTGAAGTGTGAACCTGACGGTGATAAAGTCACCGTCGGTTGTCTTGCACACCACAACTACCCAAAGAGTCTTACTTTCCAGTGGACCAATGCATGTGGAGCCGATCTGACTTCTGATCAATATCCTTCAATTCTGAACAACAACAAATATACGGGAGTCAGTTTGCTCAAAGTACCAAAGTCTGACTGGAATTTAAGGCACTCTTTTGAATGTTCTGTGACGCACGCAGGAGGATCAAGAAGTGTGACTTTGGGAAAAAGTATGTGATGTTTTATTTACAATCATAGCTCCCTGTCTGTATGTCTAAGAGTAAATATGTGTTATAGTTCATCTTTTAGACAGAACATGTTTTTCATTAATTACTGTTTCATATGTTTAAACCAATCTGACCAATTTTACATTCAAGTTTTAAATGAATTATTACAGACTGATCTGTAGACTGATGGATATTTCTGCTCTTTCCTCCATTAGAGGCCTCTTGTTCTATGATAAGAAATATCACAATGACACTGAAACCAACAAGTCCCAAAGACATTTTCATCAACAACCAGGCAAAGTTTGAGTGCAGGATTAATGGACCGGACCAGAACACCATAAATGAAATGAAATTCACTTGGCAAATAAATGGAGCTGATGTGACGAAGAACAGCAGTGAAACAACAGACGCCACAGGCAGCAAAATCAGCACGTTGACTCGCGACCGCTCTGAATGGCAGACAATCGACAACGTGCGCTGTTCTGCTAAGGGCCCAAAAACACACGTTTCTAAAGATCTGCATATCAACAAAGGAGGTATGTTACTAAGTGATGGAGAATGATTAGTAATTTGTGAGTCTGAGGAGAAATACCATTTACACACACAAAATATTATCCAAGTTTAGCAAACGCAAAACTTGAATCTGAACCTGTTCACTAAGGAGAGTTTCTCTTTCAGATAATGAACCAAAAGTAACCGTCCACGTCCTCCCAGAGGAAGACGTCAAGGAAGGAGCTGAGGTCACTCTGTTGTGTCTGGTCTCTACCAGGGAACCGCAGGATTTCTACATCGCCTGGTTAGAAGAAAATGGATCGAATGTCAGCGTCTATAACGATGGCATCGACTTCCCCTCTATGAAGACTGATGAGCGCTACTCAGTTACGAGTCTTTACACCACCTCCTTGAAAAAGTGGAACAATTTCGTCAAGTTCACCTGCAAGGTGTGGTCACCTGGTGGCGGAACGCAGAGAGATGTGTCTAAGATGGTGTTTAGATCAACTGAATGTAAGGAATCGTAACTAATTCAGTCCTAAATGTGTCATTTTGTGCTAGTGTGCTGTCATGTCTGTGTCCTCTCTGTCATGGAACCCGTCTTTGTGATTGTAAACGTAAAAGCCAGTTTGTCAATTCACTTTGGTTTGTCATCGTATTGTGTTTTAATCTGTCTTTGTCACATCGTCCAAGAGCTTGATAAATGTGCTGACTGTTTCAAATAAATGTTGCATGGAAACAACGTTGTTATATGTTCATGCATGACTTCAATATTCTGAAACAAAGCTTGTAGCTGATGCCTGGTAGACTTCTCTCTTCCACTGTTCAGATAGATCAACACAACATATGTGGAGAGTGAATAATGCTTGATTTAAGTTTATGAGCACTATTCAAGTGAGAAATGGGCATTTATGTGTTACCTTTGTTCACACACACACACACAAACAGAGACACACACATCTAACCCACCCACATCCTCCTCTTCTTAAATTCTATTCCAGCTTTTAAACTGCGTGTCGCTATGAGCTGCACAGATGATGCCATTGATGAGGACGAGTACAGCAGCCTGTGGTCCACCACCTCCTCCTTCATATTCCTCTTCATATCCTCTCTCATTTACAGCATGGTATTCAGCCTGGTCAAGGTAAACATGCAGACTTTCTCTCTATTTCAGCTGCACTGACACATTAAGAAAGTAGAAGAGATGGTACAGGATTCATAGATTCACTAAATATGGTCATTGTTTTACTGCTAAAGGTACTATAGTTATCCCAAAAAGGGAGACTAAGTGATGAAAATGATGGCATCAACAAGTCTAAGTTTGATTAGAGGGATAAAAAAGCAATATACAGTACAATTGCTAATCAGCAATTATCAGCAATATAGGATCTGCTAATGGACAGCAAATCATTCTTTCTGACCAGTGAATTAATCTATCTGGTAATCAAATCAATTGATTGTCAATTCTCCAGCTGCATAAATCTCTTAAACTAAAGTAACAATCAAACTTCATCACTGCTTGATCATTTGTATCTGAACAATCAATATAACATATACTTATTTTGTTTGTTTTTCCAGATGAAGAGGCCATGAGATGAGATTGATGCATAACATGGACTTCACTTCTTCATTTGTCTTCTAAGTATTTTTTCTGGTTTTAAAAACATTTAATTGTGTGCTAGTTTTAATGATCGTTATATACATATTTTTATTTAACTATGTCACTCAAAATAGATTTTTCTGTGACCTGTACCAAATAAAAGATACAATTGTAATTGTTAGTCATTTAGATGAATAGATTCCCTGCATAGGCTTCTGTTCTTGCATTATGAATAGAAATGTTGTACATTCACTTTCTTGAAGACTTAAATATTATGTGTTGGTAAAGTTTTACAAATGTTCATTGCCACACAAATATCAAATTGCACTGTAGTTGAGATGTTTGTAACTTTGTCTGATGTCATTATGTTGAACCATTTGCTTTAAACAAATTTAACAGATATAATATTTACAGTAGTATGGACAGACACATACAAGCATACAAGAAAACTTCGACAGTTATTTTGTGGGTTTCATTTCTAAACATATCATCTTTAGAGAGTCCCCCCCCCCCCCCTCATTGTCCACCTCAGGGACCCCACACCTGTTGTAGTGAAACTACAGAGCTACAAATAAGCTCCTTCAAAACAAGAGACCCATCTTCCCCTGCATGTATTTGCATATCACCATACAACAAGGCAACATGTGGCTTACATGCAAAAGATCTGTGACATTACATGCAGGGTTAGAAATAGATATTGTAGGAACACGAAGAGTCCATCTTCAAATTGTATGGCAGTTAAAATATTACTTGGGAAGTTGCACCTGAATGAAGATACAGCAGAGCAATTCATGAAGAAACACTGATGCATGTAAAAGTGTCAACAAAATGTGTTGCTTTTAGGCACATTAATTGTATCATTTATTCAAATTATTCTTTCATGAAATATGTAAATATATATATATGAATAAAATGACCGCTATTTTGAAGGCTTGATATATTTTGGTGTATTATCCTTTATTTAATTGTAAACATTCATTAATAACAACATGAAGTATGCACACCTACCTTTGTCATAAAACCTTTCAGAACCCCAGCTGGTCGATTTGCTGGAGGGACATTATTTAACACCAGCTCATCAGCAGAAGTCAGAAAAGAGTGAACACTGACATCTTGTGAAGGACATGGAAAGGACCAGATTCAATCACATGACCCTTCCACTGTATCTATGCTCTTCTATTATGTTACAATAGTTAAAAGTACAATGGTGTATTAAAAATACATAATCTCTCTGTTTCTCTGATCTCTAAACCTATTCAGTTTGAAAAGTTTAATTTTCCTGACAAACAACTTGCAGCCTCTTGGAGGTTTGGTAGGTTTTGGTCAGTGTTTGTATCACTGTGTTGATGCTAGTTGGAGTTATGGCACAGTGTGACACTCCATAACAAAAACCAGAGACTCGTCTGTCCTCTTAGCTGCAGCTCTCCTTTTACCAAACGCACACAGCATGTACAATGTCACAGTTATATAATCTAATCCAAGTCAATTAAAAGCATTGACTCCTTGAGAATACTGATTAGACTGTGCAGCCATTCATGAAGCAATATTTGTGGTTCTACTGTGGTCATTATAATCCAACAATAAGTGATTTTAAATTATATTTTAAAAATGGATAGTTTTTTGCAATGTGATGTTTCATTGTGTACTGGAGTAGCCACCACGTTTCAGAACGTTTTAAAAACCTGAAAAAGAGATGCAAAGGTCTGTAAAATGTATGTTGAAAACATGTTTATGCATATAAACACTCGTTTGTAGTTGTGCCTTCATTGAAACACAGTGAGACCAAGTAACTGAAATACTCAATATGCAGAATTTTCAAGACTTAATAAATAACCGCGCAGTGTTTTCATAGAACCAATACAGTACTCGCTTGTAGCACCCAACCTTTGGAATGCCTGGTACAAATACATTGGCTATGAAATATGTGTCATTCTGTGAGAGCCTTTTTCTATGCCATGTTTTATTTCTCATCCAAATTACAAGGTTTTACCGCATAATTTATATAACTATATATATCTTTTTTTTTACTTCTGTAAAACTACCATTTCAAAATATATATTATTATACAATTGAAAAAAACTTACATTGAAATGGAAAAAATGAATTCTCCTTGGAATGGATTCTCCTTTTTGGTGTAGTTGTTTATGCACGGTGCTGATAAACAAGTAATAAATTATACTGCTTTCTACTGCCTGTTGGCCAGTCTTGTTCAGATAAAAAAAAAAGTGTTTTAGGAAAAGTGAGGAGAAAGATACAAATAATCAAAAACAAAACAAAAGCAACAACTTTTAGATGTTAGAGGGTATAATTTATAACACAATGGTACATAACGCTCACCATGTTCCATGAATTCCTCCGCTGAGTACACAGTACAAGAATGAGCAAAGCTACATATCAGTGGGTGGTTTTTGTACGAGCATGTTGTACTGTGTATGGGGGGGCACAGTGATGTGGCTCCATACAAAAACCTGCCATGAACGGAACTGAGGCGTAGTGACTCCAAAAGAAGAGAAGCTCACATCACAAAATCACTACTCTGAAGAAAGGTTGAGTTCAAAGATCTGGTGGAAGGAAGCAAACATTTGAAATTCTATTTTTTTCAGTTTCAGCTTAAAAATCACAACACCTCGGAAAAGCTTCCTTTGTGTATCATCGAGGATAATATATTTCACATACTGAAAAACAAATGAAGGAATACTGACTACTTACAGTTAATTTGATGCAAATAATTATCCACTTTGGTGATATGCCTGAAAAAGATTGTTTAAATAATCCATCACCTTGTCATCACATACAGTAGTTATTTCTCATTAAAATTCAGGGAACATCATTTTACAGCACATTATTATTATTCTTTTTCTTTGTATCAGTGAAGATAAATCCACATACTGTGGGGAGTCATTGGTCCATAGCTGGACTGCACAATGTAAAGCAATAACATTAACTACGAGTATGTTTCATTGAAATAACTGATAAGTGGACAAGTGGAACATCAATTTAATGTGGATTGTGTGTTTTTCGGTTTTTCCCTTCATTCTGACAAACAATCATACAAACACAGATCTGTGACTACTTTGATGTCAGTTTATATTAAGTATGTTTCAAATGTGAGATTCTGGTCACACTTTTTTACAATCCATTATTTTAAAAGTACATCTGTACAAGCACACATATTGTTCAATTGAAAACAGTTGGACTATAATAAGAGAAGCTATCCAAAGAAAAATGAAAATGTCTGCACGTTTTTGAGTTGTGATCATCAACATGCATACTGGTTAATATTTATGTAACACAGGAAACAGGTGCTTCCACAGTCTGTTAACAAACTGTAACTTTAGACCACAGCATTGACAATAGTAACATGACAATAAGTTACACAAAATAATGCCGGTGAAAAGGATTTGTATCAAAAAGAAAAGAATATATTTTCATATAAACATGTTACCAATATTCAGTAAAACAATCAGGTCATTGGCATTGATGCTCATGTCTGATGATGTAACATTATAAGCAACACTAACAGCTAAAACTCTTAAGGTTCCCTTCAGGTACGTATTGATGCGTTCAGGCTCCGTTAATAGTTAGTGAACATGAATATTGTAAGATGAGCAAAAGAACACACACTTGTTTGACAGAGATGTTACCATAGCAACATGAAGATTAGAGATGAACTATGACTTGTCTACATTAGCTTTGATAATACAGTTACTGTGTATTGGCTTTAATCCATTAGCGTCAGGTTCGTCAGCTGGGAATCAGGATTTAAGAATTACGAACCAAATCCAGGCCAAAGGTTTTTAGCATTTGAAAAAAAAAATGTGAACCTGGTTTTGGTGTTGAAAACTAAAAAATACAACATTACAGGTCATTTAGCTGAAGCTTCTATCCAAAGCAACTTACATTACACGTTGAACCCATGGCTTTTCTTTTTTTTACATTTTGGCCGGGGAGCAATTAGGGGTTAGGTGTCTTGCTCAGGGACACTTCGACTTGAGACATGGGGCAGCCGGGACTCAAACCGCCAACCTTGCAGTTCCCAGCGCTCTACCCCCTGCGCCACGACGACCCAACATGTGTTCCAAATAAAAATAAGTAGTTATTTTATTAAATTTCAGCAAGGTCCAGTTAGAGAGAATTTCCTCCTGCAAAGGTCTAAGACATCACAATAGCGTTTAATTTGCGCTATAATTTAGTCCCATTTGTATTGAAGTATCCAGCAGTTGAATTAAGATTTATTTGTAATTCATTAACAACCAACTATCAGGAGGTGTGTAAGACTTCAATTAGTTTGTATCAAATTTTCCTCTTTCTCGCAGCCATACATAAGATAATGACAGCACAATATGGTACTTTATGAAATGAAGTTAAAATAAATTATGTTAACTTTTATATTTTGTTAAAGTGTTTAAATGCTAGTTAACAGGGTAAAAGTGTTTTAACTGAATCAATTCGATGCAGCAGGAACTGGAGCTGACGGGTCTGATACAGAGGAAGTGTTGCCTAACTGTTGTCAACTCATACTCATATTTTATATAACCCAGACCACAGGAAATGCGTCTCAAGGGACGTGGTAGTCCAGAGGGAATTGCTTTGCCATTAAAGCATGATCCCTGGTTTAAATGACTATTTGTATTAGAAGCACGTTGGAATATATCACTGTGATTACTACTTTGACTACTGGGGGAAAGGAACACAAGTCACAGTGACTTCTGGTGAGTAATTAACACATTTAAGATGATTTAAGTCTATTCTGTATTTTCACGGGTTTATTATGAAATTCATGTTGATTTCAAATTTGTTGTAAAGGTAAATAAGAGTAAATCCAAGTAGAAGAGCAAAGAGATGAGGGTAAATGGTAGATATATCCACTGGTTTAGTGGATAAGTACAATCATTTATTCGATGAAAAAAGCTGTTGAATATGTTTGCATTAAAAAGGTCACTAATTACAGGGTAAAAGTAACAATAATGATCATCTCAGGTAAGCAGGTAAAACAGACTTTGTCTTCATATGGACAATAGAACTGGCCTGGGTAATATTTAATATTTAGACCTCAGTGGCATCAAAGGTGTCTTTAAGTGCTTGTTTTTGCACTTTGGATGTAATGTCTTATTACACTGTGATGGTGCTTTTGATTACTGGGGGAAAGGCACCATGGTAACAGTCACATCAGGTAAGCTGCTCTTATTTATCTTTCTCTAATGTCAAGATT